GAAACAATCAGTTTGAGGAGCACTGAGCCCACACATACACACACACTGTCTCTCACACTCACACACACAGTTGACCCAGTGGCCTACTGTAGGACTGTGTGTGCGTGTGTGTGTGTGTGTGTGTGTGTGTGTGTGTGTGTGTGTGTGTCCAGACATGTGTGTGAAGCTCATTAATTCAATTCAGTTCAATTCAAATGGCTTTATCTGCATGACGTAACACTGTACATATTGCCAAAGCAAGTGTTTGGAATTAAAAATAATAAGTAATTAATTACAATGAATCAATCAATCAATCAGTTTGTGTCAACTAAAAATATCATTAAAACAGTAGTAAAGTAACTACAGTTAAAACAAGTAGTCTGTTGTCAATATAACAGTAATAACTAATTATTAAATATAATATATATAATATTAAAATATATAAATTAAAATAAAATAGATAAAACTGTAAACCTGTGTGTGTGTGTGTGTGTGTGTATGTATATATATATATATATAAAAAAAACAACAACAAAAACAACTACAACTAAAACAATCAATTATTTTATACATTTACAGAGTTTCCACTGGTCGTCCTCAGTTCGTGGCATGAGGAGACATATTTTGCTGCAATAATTTGACTTTTGGGCATTTCTCCCAGTAAATAGGGGAGTTTCTGTGTGTCTGATAATAATTCTAAATCGGGGTATATTTGGGAAATGTTTGCAAATTGTTTTTCTCTTAAAGTTTTGAATTTAGGGCATGAGGTTAGAAAGTGCAGCTCTGTCTCTACCTGTCCTCTGTCACACTGGGAGCAGAGTCTCTCCTCTTCTGGTAGCCAGTTCTGTCTGTGGCGACCCGTTTCTATGGCCAGGCTGTGTTCACTCAGTCTGTACATTGTCAACATTGTTCTTAGTTTAGGACATTTTATTGTGCTCAGGTAATTTGCCAGTGTGAATTCTCTTTTTAGGGTCAGATAACATTGTAATTTACTTTGTGTTTTGGTCGATTCTTTCCAGTATTCAATATATTTTTCTTTTTGCTTGTTGATAATTTGGTTTGGTCTGATTGAGTTGGTGTTGCTGTCCTGAGGCTGTTGGGGACATGTTACTGCAGAGAGCCTCAGGACCAGCTGGCTGAGGGGACTCTTCTCTGGTTTCAGCTCCTGGTATGTTAGGGCTTTGTGATGGTATGTCTGGGGGTTAACTGATTTTAAGTGATTGTAAAATTGAATTGATCTTTTCTGTATTTTTAGTAGGAGGGGGTATTGGCCGAGCTCTGCTCTGCACAGATTATTTGGTGTTTTTCTCTGCACCTGCAGGATGCTCTTACAGAACTCGCTGTGGAAAGATTCTATGGTTGTTTTGTCCCATTTGTCAAATTCATTATTTAGTTTTGGTCCCCAAATTTCGCTGCCATATAGAATTATTGGTTCTAGTACAAATCGGAAAATGTTAAGCCAGATTTGGATTGGAATATAGATTTTAATGTTTCTCTTTATTGCATAGAAAGCTCTCCTTGCTTTGTCCCTCAGATCTTTCAACGCCATGTTGAGGTTTCCTGTGTATGTAATGTTGAGGCCAAGATAAGTGTAGTTTTTTGTATGTTGTAATTTAGTGGTGTCTATTGAATAGTATTGAATAGTTTCAGTAGTAGTTTCATTTTCAGATAGATTGTGATTTTGCTGTGGTCTGAGAGGGGTGTGAGGGGGCTGACTGTGAAAGCTCTGAGACATTGGATCTAGATCTTTAATGAAATAATCTACCGTACTACTGCCAAGAGCTGAGCTGTAAGTGTAGCGACCCAGAGAGTCCCCTCGTAGCCTGCCGTTGACTATGTACAGACCCAGTGTACGGCAGAGCTGTAAAAGCTCAGGGAGGGGGAAGCAGGTGCTTCCAGGTAAGTGTTTGTCTCCCTGGGTGTTCATAGTGTCAGCTCTTTCCCCTGTTCGAGCGTTCAAGTCCCCACAGAGTAATACATTTCCCATGGTTTTATAATGGTTAATTTCCTCCTCAAGAACAGAGAAAATATCCGGGTTGTAGTAGGGGGATTCTGATGGAGGTATATAGATGGCACACATGTAGAGTCAGTACAAATAATCTTTTTGTTAATTTTCAACCATATATAAGATTCTTCTTTTTTAATAAAGCTGTCTCTCTGTCTGTCTCTCTGTCTCTCTGTCTGTCTGTCTGTCTGTCTGTCTGTCTGTAGAGTTAACTGACCTAATTTGAAGTGGATCCGATCAGCTCCCTTGGAGTTTATTCAAAATGCCCGACTTCCTGTTGGGTTTGGGTCCAGGAGGTTAAAGGTCAGAGGTTAGGCTGAGGCCACGCCCCCTTGGTATGATGTCACCTACAGCAGTCTCTCTCTCTTTCTGTGTCTCTCTCTCTGCAGGCCTATGGCTGGGCGCTTGAGGGTATGCGTCACCTAGCCAGTGTCAGTATGGAGGAGTGCTCGCTGCCAGACAAATGCCAGGCTGGGATTGGCTACCTGGAGGAGTACCGCCGCCAGCACCCTCCCATCCCGGACGCACGCTTCCAGGAGATGAAGGCTGCGGCGGGTGAGCTGCGGGGCGAGCGAGGCCTCCGTCAGTGGAGCTTCGCCTGGTCCAAGTGTCAGGAGACCAAGAAGATGTTTGACAGGAAGATGGAGGCGGCGCTCAGGACGCGAAGCTCCACCCACAGACAGCGCTCAGACTCCACCTGCAGCAGGAGCTCCACCTCCTCCAGGAGGTCTCTGTCAGGACTCTGGGGGGTCGAGACCTCCTCCAGCCCACCTCAGGGTGACATCTCCCTACCTCCCAACGCCTCCTCCCCTCTCACCTCCTCCCCTCTCTCCCCCCAGCACACTCCCCTCCTCCAGCGTTTGTTCCGCAGCACCTCCTCAGAGGAGTCCTCAGACCGGGTGGATATCTGCTCCTCCAGTCCCAGCCTCCCCCGCCTCGGCTCCTCCTCCTCCTCCACCTCCTTCTTCTCCTCCAGCAGACGGCAGCAGCTGAGGAAGACTCAGAGCTTCGACTGTCCCTCCACCCCGGAGGTGCCGCGGTACGGCCCCTGTCCCCGCGCCCTCAGCGAGCCGGCGCGCAGAGGAAACACGGGCGTGTTCATCCGTGGTCTGGAGATCAGCAGCACCGAGGCCGCCGATCTCACGCTGTCCCCCAGGACGGCTGCTCCTGGCTGGGCCGCACAGGGACTGCACAGCCCCGCCACACCCAGCACACCCAGGACCTCCAGCAGCCCCACAGCAGAGTCCCGACCCAGAGGAAGGTGGGTGAACACACATACTCATTTTGCACTTATTCATTTATTTCTACTTCTGTTTTTGTACTTTTTAGAGGAAATGTTTTTACTGCCGTATGATTATAAAATATGGATGTGTGTGTGTTACCGTGTGTGTGTGTGTGTGTGTGTGTGTGTGTGTGTGTGTGTGTGTGTGTTCCTGTGTTACTGTGTGTGTGTGTGTGTGTGTGTTCCTGTGTTACTGTGTGTGTGTGTGTGTGTGTTCATGTGTTACTGTGTGTGTGTGTGTGTGTGTGTGTGTGTGTTTGTGTGTGTGTGTGTGTGTGTGTGTGTGTCTTTGTGTGTTACTGTGTGTGTGTGTGTGTGTGTGTGTGTGTTGCTGTGTGTTACTGTGTGTGTGTGTGTGTGTGTTCCTGTGTTACTCTGTGTGTGTGTGTGTTCCTGTGTGTCACTGTGTGTCTGTGTGTGTGTGTGTGTTACTGTGTTACTGTGTGTGTGTGTGTGTGTGTTTGTGTGTATGTGTGTGTGTTCCTGTGTTACTCTGTGTCTGTGTGTGTGTGTGTGTGTGTGTGTGTTGCAGTAAGCTGCGTCACGTGGTGGAGGAGATGGTGACCACAGAGCGGGAGTATGTGCGCTCCCTGCGTTACATCCTCCATCACTACTTCCCGGAGATGGACCGCGTGGACCTTCCTCAGGACCTGAGGGGGAAACGCTCCGTGGTGTTTGGGAACCTGGAGAAGCTTCTGGACTTCCACAGCCAGTTCTTCCTGAGAGAGCTGGAGTCCTGCTGGAAGCATCCGCTGAGAGTGCCACACTGCTTCCTCAGACATGTACGATTCTATCCATTATAGATTATAGATTATATTGATTGTATTCATTATGTGGACGATACCAGTGTTTCCATGGTTACACAGTGATGATATCATATGTTGATGTTTGAGCAGCAGGAGCAGTTCAGTCTGTACGCTCTCTACAGCAAGAACAAACCAAAGTCTGACGCTCTGCTGGCCAACCACGGGAACTCCTTCTTCAGGGTGAGAACTCAGCATGACCTGTGACCCCTACTGACTCCCTGTGACCTCTGACCTCTACTGGATCTCTGTGACCTCTACTGACCTCTACTGACTCTCTGTGACCTCTACTGACTCTCTGTGACCTCTACTGGCTCTCTGTGACCTCTACTGACCTCTTCTGACTCTCTGTGACCTCTGCTGACTCTCTGTGACCTCTACTGACTCTCTCTGACCTCTACTGACTCTCTCTGACCTCTACTGACCTCTACTGACTCTCTGTGACCTCTACTGGCTCTCTGTGACCTCTACTGACCTCTACTGACTCTCTGTGACCTCTGCTGACTCTCTGTGACCTCTACTGACTCTCTCTGACCTCTACTGACTCTCTCTGACCTCTACTGACCTCTACTGACTCTCTGTGACCTCTACTGGCTCTCTGTGACCTCTACTGACTCTCTCTGACCTCTACTGACTCTCTGTGACCTCTACTGACCTCTACTGACCTCTACTGACTCTCTGTGACCTCTACTGGCTCTCTGTGACCTCTACTGACCTCTACTGACTCTCTGTGACCTCTGCTCACTCTCTCTGACCTCTACTGACTCTCTGTGACCTCTACTGACTCTCTCTGACCTCTACTGACTCCCTGTGACCTCTACTGACCTCTACTGGCTCTCTGTGACCTCTACTGACTCTCTGTGACCTCTACTGGCTCTTTGTGACCTCTACTGACTCCCTTTGACCTCTACTGACTCCCTTTGACCTCTGACCTCGACTGGCTCTCTGTGACCTCTACTGACTCTCTGTGACCTCTACTGACTCTCTCTGACCTCTACTGACTCCCTGTGACCTCCACTGACCTCTACTGACTCCCTGTGACCTCTATTGACCTCTACTGACTCTCTGTGACCTCTACTGACTCTTTGTGACCTCTACTGACTCCCTTTTCACCTCTACTGACTCCCTTTGACCTCTGACCTCTACTGGCTCTCTGTGACCTCTACTGACTCTCTGTGACCTCTACTGACTCTCTCTGACCTCTACTGACCTGTACTGACTCCCTGTGACCTCTACTGACTCTCTGTGACCTCTACTGACTCTCTGTGACCTCTACTGACCTCTACTGACTCTCTGTGACCTCTACTGGCTCTCTGCGACCTCTACTAACTCTCTGTGACCTCTACTGACTCCCTCTGACCTCTACTGACTCTCTGTGACCTCTACTGACTCTCTGTGACCTCTACTGACTCCCTCTGACCTCTACTGACTCTCTCTGACCTCTACTGACTCCCTCTGACCTCTGATTAAAGCTGTTCCACATTCCACACATTCTTTAGAGAATAGGATCCACTGACACTGACCCCCCCCCCAGAGGAAGCAGGTGGAGTTGGGGGATAAGATGGACCTCTCGTCCTACCTGTTGAAACCCGTTCAGAGGATGAGTAAATACGCTCTGCTCCTCACTGACCTCATGAAGGAGGTGGGCGCAGCTCAGGAGGCGGAGCTTGTCACGCTGCAGGCCGCCACCGACATGGTCAAATTCCAGCTTCGCCACGGTAACGACCTGCTGGCCATGGACGCCATCAGAGACTGTGACGTAAGTTTATCCTTAAACAACTCCTCCTCCTCCTCCTCCTCCTCCTCCTTTTGTTTGATGGTTGATGAAAACAGAAACAGATAAAACTAGATTCGAGTGTTCATCCACTGACTCCTCTCCCTCCTCTCCCTCCTCCTCTCCCTCCTCCTGTCCCTCCTCCTCTCCCTCCTCTCCTACTCTCCCTCCTCCTGTCCCTCCTCTCCTCCTCCTCCTCCTCTCCCTCCTCCTCTCCTCCTCTCCCTCCTCTCCCTGCTCCTATCCTTCCTCTCCGTCCTCTCCTTCCTCCCTCCTCCTCTCCCTCCTCCTCTCCCTCCTGTCCCTCCTCTCCTCCCTCCTCTCCCTCCTCCTCTCCTTCCTCCCTTCTCCTCTCCCTCCCAGGTGAACCTGAAGGAGCAGGGTCAGCTGATCCGTCAGGATGAGTTCACTGTCTGGAGCGGGAGGAGGAAATGTCAGCGTCACGTCTTCCTGTTTGAGGAGCTGGTCCTGTTCAGTAAACCCAGGAAGGTGGAGGGGGGGCTGGACGTCTTCATCTACAAACACTCCTTCAAGGTAAACCCTTCAATCGATCGATCTGTAAATCGATCGATCAGTTAATCGATCGATCAGGCTGCAGGGGTCAAAGGTCACACTGACTCCTGTTTGTCCTGCAGACAGCAGATGTGGGTCTGACTGAGTCCACCGGAGACAACGGGCTGCGCTTTGAGATCTGGTTCAGAAGGAGGACGTCCAAGAACCAGACCTTCATCCTTCAGGCCGCCACGGCGGACGTCAAACACGCCTGGACCGCCGACATCGCCCGCATCCTGTGGAACCAGGCCACCCGGAACAAAGGTACAGTCTGACCTTTAACCTCTTTAACCTGTTTATGAGTTTAATGACGTATTCTACCTTTCCCCCAAAGACTGTATGAATAAAGTTATTAATATAATGAGCACTTCCTGTGTGTATAAATGAAGTTATTAGTACTTCCTGTGTGTCAGAGATGCGTCTGAAGGAGATGGTGTCCATGGGAGTAGGAAACAAACCGTTTCTGGACATTCAGCCGAGTGACGCTGCCATCAGTGACCGAGCTGTTCATTACATCATGAAGAGCAGAGGTACTGTGTGTGTGTGTGTGTGTCTGTGTGTGTGTAAGCTCAATCTTTAACTAAATATTCTGCTATAACAGTTTTCCGTCCTGAAGCTCCTCAGAATCACATTAATAACACGTTAATAGCATTAATAACATTAACACATTCATAGCATTAATAACACATAAATAACATTAATAAAACATTAATAGCATTAATAACGCATTAATAACACATACATAACATTAATAAAACATTAATAGCATTAATAACACATTAATAACACATTAATTGCATTAATAACACATTAATAACACATTAATAGCATTAATAACGCATTAATAACGCATTAATAACACATCAATAGCACTAATAACACATTAATAGCATACTGATTACTGATTATAGATTACAGATTACTAATTACAGATGATTGATTACAGACTGATGAGTAATGATGGTTGTGATGGAGGTCCTTCAGTAAAGGAGACAATGAGCAACTGTAACAGCCTAATGAGCCTGAAACCAACCAGCTGCTCCTCCTCTTCCTCTTCCCATCAATAACACACAGTGATTTGTTATCAATAATCAAACTGAATCCT